TATAAATTGACCCTTTAAAGGTCTGCAGGACGATACTGCTCCAATGTCCTTAAGATTTAGGGAAGATAAAACGTTATTCCTTTCAAAAGAGAACCAATTATGCTGCTTATGGATACTGGTTTAAATAACCTTCCCGTCAAATGGAATTTTAAAACCATCAAGCCATGACAGAATAGTATTATCATTGCAAAATGGCTTCCAGGTATCCTTAAAGGCATTGAGGCGACCCGCAAATTTTCTTACTGGCTCTATTTTCTTCTTTCTTCCTTCTTCCTATAGTTCCGAGGTTTGTCCGGCGCTAGATTTCCTCTTGGCCTCGTGGTCTGTCTGGGTCTCCTGTTCTCTTTTTTCTGCCCGTCTCCCTTCCTCGTGTATTGGTAGGAGGACGAGCTTTTGAAGTTTAAAGACTTTTGTTTGTTTCCGGCTGAGAGGAACTGTTGATTTTCGATGATTTTTTAGTTTGCTCTACAACTTCCGCCAGTTTGCTACCAAATAAAAATTGGTCCACTTGAGATCCCATTAAAACTTCTTTAATATTATCTTTTAACTTCTTTTTGAACCCCATATTGACCAGCCTTCCCCTATCACTAAGCCATTCGACTAGAGAAATTCGATCCTCTTGAGAAATAGGTTTTGAATCCAATAGCCTTGAGATTGTTTTACCAATGCTAGAGAGTGCCGCACCTAATTGATTTTGTAAATCTGCCTTTCTGTCATCCCTCTTTGAGGCCACCGGGTTAATATTAATCAGGATCTCCGGATTGAATTTTGGTGCTCCAACTACACTAGAATTTTGTGGTGGGGGATATTTTGCTGTTAAGGCTTCCCGTGTTTCTTTGGAGAGTCCATTTCCCAAAATTCTGGACCAGGTTTCCGCTATATGTTCTTGTGTAAATTATTCCCAGAAATATTTGTAGGCTCTTCTGGACCAAGCACTTGCAAAAACCTTGGATCTAGTTCAGGATCCTCATTCGTTACGCCTGAAAAATAGACATTGATCAATTGATCTATTTTGAAATTATCATCAGAAGCCCCTATTCAAAAGGCATCATCAAAATGACCGCAAGTTCGTAAGGTTTAATAAGATGACGCTGCCTATGCGAAAGAAATAGTAAAGCAGAAACCATTACAAATTATGACGCTAAGTGCGCGTTCACATTGACACCGCTCGAGCGATGAGCGTTACGCGATACCGCTGTAGCGATGCCCAAAAATAATTATAACATTATATTTCAAATGAACATGTTAAAACCGCGCAACACGCCGCCTCAGTGTGAACTTGTTTATTTGAAATATAATGTTAAAGTTATTTTTGGGCATCACTACAGCAGCATCGCGCAACGCTCACCGCTAGAGCGGTGTCAATGTGAACGCGCACTAACACTTGTCTTTATATTAACTAGGTGGCGCCACATGCATAACATAAAACCGGTTCAGCCGGTAAAACAGGGCTGGCGAAATTTGCCACGGGCTGAGTTTATCTTGCCTGCTATTGGCTCCCCATACAGGACGGAAGTGGATGGTGGCCATTACAGTGGGCGGCCATGATAGCCGCCATTATGACGCCGATGGCATGAGCGGATGGCGGCCAGGAATACAATGTGAATGGCATAACTCACACAAATTATTGGGCTATTTTCGCCAATATGGGCTTGGGATGCGATTTTTAGCCGAAATAATTCTTTTGGACTTACTGTTTTCTCTCTTCATTGAACCCTCCTCGTCTTCCTCTTGTAAAAACCAATCGTCGTTTTGAGATTCCAAACTGCGGATTGGGATTCGCCCCCGACGTTGAGGGCAAGCAGCCATCGCCTGGTGGCAATGGCGGAGGTGGAGGTTAGGGAAAACAAACTATCGATAGGAATATCGATACTATCGATATTTTTTTAATCTTCGATAGTATCGATAGACCTGTACCAATATCGATAGTTCCAATGTAGCCAAAGGTAAATGGTCGGGGATTCTAAAATCACGATTCGACATACGATTCGACAACGAGACGATTTTTCCGACGATTCTAGGTTAGAAATCTCATTGGAATTATACCTTTCGACACGACAAGGCCGGTATCGTTGTCGAGGCGTGTGTCGAATCGTGATTTTAGAATCTCGGCCATGTTTTCTGTAAATTGAGGGAAATATAAAGAATTCTGTAGTTGTTTTGGAAAATCTGTAATTATTTTTGGAGATAGACATGTTATGCTGCCAATTTTTCGGTTAGGAGGAGTGACGAGTGACTTTGATGGACTTGATGGAGGTTGGAGGTTAATGTTTATCGTAATTAATTGAAAATTTGGTAACTTTGGTCACAGCAAACCAATGAACTATAGCTAAAAACTGGAACGCGCACACATTGCCATATCTGCCAAAAAAATGAAGCCATGAAAGACAGATGCCACAAGGGGGAATGTTGTTTTTTTCTGTTGCTCGCTGACATATGACGTTTTCGAAAGTTTTGTCATATTTCCCTTCACAGGTTTCATCAATTGGAATACGTGTTGGAAGCAATTTTCGCCATTTAACATAATGAGTGCGACAAAAACAGGTATCCCCTCCGCAGCAGCCGCACTAGGCTTCAAGTTCGTCCTTATGTGTTAGCATTCCAGTTTTTGGTTATAGTTCATTGGAGCAAACTATCGATAGTACAATCGATAGTTACTATCGATAAGTAGGACATTCTATCGATATCACTATCGATAGTTTTTTTTTCGATAGTTTGTCAACCCTAGTGGAGGTTGCTCGGCCCCAGCAGAGAACGAAGGCAGAGGTAGTGGTGGAGAACTATCGATTGTACTATCGAGCACTATCGATAGTATCAACTATCGAAGCGCTATCGATTGTTCCTACCGACTATCGATAGTTTTAGATAGTAGCTTATAGCGAATTCTATTAGTAAAGCCAGTGGCTCTCAGTGCGTAGTGAGTGTATTTGCTTGTGTTTGTTTCAGCCAGCATGTGAAAGAAAAGGACAGAAATAGAAAAATATTTTTATGCACTGGTTCCGCTAATAGAAAACGCTTTTGGCCGTTTCCACCAACTATTTTAGGGAAGCCTTAACGATAAGTACCGTCAACCGGGGTAAAGTCGATCTGTCGGGGTAAAGTCGATGCAACTGTCAAAAAGAGACGTTTTAGTGCGCATGACCTAAAATGCGTGTTGTAGAGCGGTGCAAACCGCGGGATATTTTGGCAGATAGATTCGACATACCGGCTAGGGTGTTTCAGAGCGTTTTTGTAAGTTGTTTTTCAAAATAAAATTAATTTTATAATACGCGTAGTTTTCGGTTGTTTCAAAACTTTTGAAAAACTTCATGTGGACCTAAGACAAGGTAAGGCCTGCATGTTTTTTCAAGGTACTATCTGGTCAAGTGATTATTATAGAGTTATCACCACCAAAAATACAATTTAAAAAAATAAAAACATAAAAACTACAGCCTTTAAAGCAAAAAAACAGCAACTAATGGGGAAAAGTCGATCAATTAAAAAAATCGTCCTTTTAAAATATAATTTGTTTTTGTGAGGTTACGGTTCACTTTAGAGGTGAAGAACTATCGATAGTAGGCATCATCGATATGTATCGATAGTCGCGAAGAATCTATCGATGATTATCGATAGTTTCAAAACGCTGTTATTATTTTATTTAGGCCTTATTTTGGTTCCAGATGCCACGAAATTACAAAAAAAAAATTGGGTTCCATGGGAACAAAAACTACGATGAAGTTTATTTAGAAAGGGCAGTGGCGGCGGTGAAAAAAAAGGAAATGTCAATGCGGGCAGCTTCTGAGCAGTATGCGGTACCCTACACTACATTGAACGATCATGTTCATGGTAGGGTGCATTTAAAATATGGCAGGCCGCAAGCTTTAAATGACATTAACGAGAGACAGTTGGTGGAGGCGCTCCAAGTTTGTGCTGAATGGGGATTTCCCCTAAAACCAATTGATGTCCGGTATATTGTTCAACAGCATCTTAACAAATGTGGCCTAACTGAAAAGCGGTTTAAAAATAATCTACCTGGAACTGATTGGTTTGCAGGTTTTATGAAACGGAATCCAGATGTCACTGTTAAACTCGCCGAGAATACAAAACGCGTTAGAGCTGCTCTGAGTTACGAAACAATTCAAGAATATTTTAATAATCTTGAAAATACTATTAAAGACATCCCGGCTTCGCATATTATTAATTATGACGAAACTAACTTTGTGGATGATCCTGGGGCAGCCAAAGTTGTTATAAAAAAAGGGAGCAAACATGCGTTTAGAGCTATAGATAGTACAAAAACGAACACAACAGTAATGTTTGCTATTGCTGCTGATGGTACATTGCTTCCCCCATATATTGTATATAAGGCCAAACATTTATACGAAGGTTGGACTGAGGGTGGTTTAAAGGGATCCAAGTATAACAATACACCAAGCGGATGGTTTGACGCGACAATTTTTGAGGACTGGTTTTACAAAATTATCGTACCATATTTTAGAAGATTAGACGGCGAAAAGGTTCTTCTTGGAGATAATCTAAACAGTCACGTAACCTTAGGTGTTATAAAAGAATGTGAAAATAATAATATCAAGTTTGTTTTGTTGCCACCAAACTCGACCCATCTACTACAACCACTTGATGTGGCTTATTTTCGATCACTGAAGTCGTCATGGAGAAAAATCTTGGAGAAGTGGAAAATTAAAAACAGAGGTGTTTTACCGAAAACACTGTTTCCAAAGCTTCTTAAGGATGCAATCGAAGACGTTGGATTACGATCTGAAGCGAATTCCATTGCTGGATTTAGAGCATGTGGGATTGCCCCATTCAATCCCCATGCAGTCTTGAATAAAATTCCACGCAAAAATGCGCAAGCTGGGGACTCACAAAAAGCCTGGACCGAAGTTATTGTGGATCACCTAAATCAACTTAAGTCGGGACCTTCTCAAGCTCCAAGAAGGGGGAAAAAATTAACGTTATAGCCGGAAAAAACTTAAGCAGTAATGACCTTCCTGATATTTCAGAAAAAACACAGGAGACTCCGATAAAAAATAAAAAAGAAAAAAAAAATTCACGAAAATATAAAAGAAAGAAGAAAGACAGCAGTAGTAGTAACGAAGAGATCGACGAGATAGATCTTTTGGAAAGTGAGTCAGATTATGAAGTTTTAGGAAAAAGTAAATCTCCTTCGCCTTTTCCTGAAGTGCAAAATGTCGAGGATACGTTGGAATTAGGAAATATGGGCGATTATGAAATTGGCGAATCCTCAACCCATCACCAACAACAACCAAATGGAACATCCGAAACAACTGCGGACATTGCTGCTAAGCAAGAAAATTTTATGGTTAATGATTTTGTGATAACGAAGTTTAAAACCAACAAACGAGATCGATTTTACATATCAAAAGTGGAAGAACTTTTAGAATCCTCTGTAATTATTAGCTCCCTTAGAATGAAAGGTAAAAAAGACCGCCATTTTGTTTTCCCACAAAACCCCTGATTACGCAGAGGTCACTAAAGAGCAAATTGTGCAAAAAGTAAAGTTGAGGGATATTCAGAGAGGAAGAGATTTCTTTACTCTACCTGAGGGTTTTGATCTAGAATAACTTTTTTTTTGGTTTCGTTTTTTATTTATAGAAAATATGATTATTTTGTTAGTTTTGTAGGTTTTTAGAATACCCACTTTAAGTCTGATAGAAAACCTGTGTTCCTGTTTATGTTTTTTTTTTCGATTTTTTTGACCAAGAATAACTTTACTATGTTTATTTTGATTTTTTTTCGTTAGTTTACCCTACCTTAGAATAAGTCTTAAGTTTGAAACGGTTATTTGTATATTTGAAACTCAATTTGTTCCGATTATAACTAGTTTGTTACCTACTAAATAAAGGCCTGTTTGGCTAGTACTAGTTTTTTTTGTACCTAACACTTTTTTTTTTCATTTTTGGTGATATATTATCCATATTCCATGTTAAAGTCGATTTTATGTAGTTTTAAAGGGGTGATCGGCTTTACCCCATACCACGGGGTAAAGCCGATCACCCTTTGCCCTAAAAAAAAATGAAAACGGTCTTGGGTAAAAAATATTCAACCACGGTATTTTGTGGCTGAGATATCAAGGATTATATATACTTATTTCTGGACAAAAAAGTCAAGCCGTTTGGGCGCTGCGTCGAAAGAACTAGATTTTTTGATCGACTTTACCCCGGTTGACGGTATTCCCTAAACTGACATTTCTCCATGTAAAACTGTCAATTAAGGGAATACTTATCGTTAAGGCTTGCCCAATGAACTATAGGTAAAAACTGGAATGCGAACACATTGCCATATCTGATAAAAAAATGAAGCCATGAAAGACAGATGCCACAAGGGGGAATGTTGTTTTTTTCTGTTGCTCGCTGACATATGACGTTTTCGGAAGTTTTGTCATATTTTCCTTCACGGGTTTCATCAATTGGAATACGTGTTGGAAGCAATTTCCGCCATTTAACATAATGAGTGCGACAAAAACAGGTATCCCCTCCGCAGCAGCGGCACTAGGCTTCACGTTCGTCAATATGTGTGCGCATTCCAGTTTTTGGTTATAGTTCATTGGGCTTGCCTAAAATAGTTGGTGGAAATGGCCACTAGTCTTGTATTCGAGTAGTGCAAGTGCGTCACATAGGTAGTGCGAACTGCACCGTTTCGTTTATTTTAATCAAAATTGTAAGGAAATTATTTCAGAAATTGAAATTTTTTAGGGTCGGTTTCTCAAAAGCGAGTCACCTCCGGGTTGGTTTCAACTTCTGGGTAAACGTGTCCAGTTGCAATTTTTACCTTGGAGTTATGCTTAACCCGGGGCCTGGGGGTGACTTGCTAATGAGAAACTGGCCCTAAATGTTTTCATTTTTCATCTTCACTTCAGTAGTTAATGAATAGGAATATCATATATTTTAGTTTTTCTGCGTCCACCCACATTTAATAGGTTTAAAATTGAAATGATCTAATTTTGTAAAACTATCGAATACTATCGATAGTTATCGATGGTAAGGAGCCTGGACTATCGATTACTATCGATGGTGCCAACTATCGATAGTTCTCCACCTCTAGCCACAGGCTTTGTATCTGGTCGGCGTCTCTTTTTCTTCTCCAGTGACTTCAATTTCGCCCTTAGCGTCTGAATTTCGTCCTCCATACTATCTTCGTCCGAGGAAATCGAAGAACTATCACTCCTTTCACTATACTTTCTTTTTCCCATTTTTTACAGATTTCTTCTTTAAAAATATGGTGCGTTCACGAATTTCAGGTTCAAGTAAAATCTGTTTTTTTTTTAAAGATAAGTCCCCAAGTCAAAAATTTAGTAACTATGTTGGCAACACAAGCCTTTTCTACATGAAAAATTTGAAAGCATTGACAATTTTACATTGTATTGCCAACCTAATGTCAGTTTGACTTTTATCTTTAAAAAAAAAACGCACTTTACTACGTGTGTGATTTATGAGGGAAATACGCTGAAATAAAATTATAGTCCCCAGTACATCGACCCTAAAATTTTGTAACTCATGTACAGGGTGGCCCATTTTCGATGTTTTAATAGGCTATATCGAAAACCAGCAGAGATATCAAAAATCTGGGAGCACATTCTCGAACTCTTTTTTTGAGAAAATAACAATGGCGAAGACAAATCACGGCTAACTTGATGCGTTTAGGAAATACAGGGCACTCGACAGGGCACTTTTCAAATTTTGTCCAATTTTAAAAGACTATCTAATTTCCTTATTATTCTAGATATCCAAAAACAAATAATACTTTCTATAGGCAGTTTCTCAAGGAGAATCCAGTGGCATGACCAATTTTTCTCCAGATGCCTCCGATTTTGGAATATTGATCAAAGTTGTGTTTTTTTAAATGGGACACCCCGTAGATTATTTTTGCATTAAATAGCTCTTTGGCCTCTTTGTGAGCTGATTTCGATGATATAAGGTTTTATACCTTTACCTTCAATAGTTTTGGAGAAAAAAAATAAATTCCATTTTTTCCATAAGAAACAATGAGTTAGAAAGAGATAGTTGAACTATGAATCGGCTACAAAGAAGGAGGCACGATTTACATTGAAAATAGGCCCCCGTGAATTTTCACCAAATTTCAATATTTTAAAGGTATCATCATTGCAAAAGAAAATTTGAAATGTAAAAAGGATCGCATGTCTGTGATAGCAGATATAGCTTGTCAAAGTACGTAGGTCCTGCTATGCTATGCATAGGAAATATCCGAGGAAATATCCCTACGTAGATTTTCTTGAATATTTCAAAAAATGCTAATCCAATTTTGACGGTTTCGGGGTCCTTTTGTAGGTATCAAACCCCAAAAACGTCAAAATCGGATTAGTATTTTGCGAGATATTCAAAAAAATCTACGTAGGGATATTTCTTTGGATATTCCTAAGCATAGCATAGCAGGACCTACGTACTTTGACAAGCTATATTTGCTATCACAGACATACGATCCTCTTTATATTTCAAATTTTATTTTACAATGATGATACCTTTAAAATATCGAAATTTGGTTGAATTTTACGGGGGCCTATTTTGAATGTAAATCGTGCCGTGCCTCCTTCTTTCTTAATTCTTAATTTAATTTTTCAGTTAATTCAGCTAATTTTTTTTAATTTGAACTATGAATCGGGGGTGATAAATAGGCAACACATAATTTATTTAATAACTTATCCCTCTCTAGCTCATTGTTTCTTATGGAAAAACGGAATAATTTTTTTTTTCTCCAAAACTAGGCAAAGGTATAAAACCTTATACCTATCATTGAAATCAGCTCACAAAGAGCTATTCAATGAAAAAATAATATACGGGGTGAGTTGTCTCATTTAAAAAAAAAAAACACAACTTTGGTCAATATTCCAAAATCGGAGGCATCTGGAGAAAAATTGGCTATGCCACTGGATTCTCCTTAAAAAACTGCCTATAGAAATAAGTATTTTTCGTTTTTGGATATCTTGAATAATAAGGAAATTAGAGAGTCTTTTAAAATTGGACAAAATTTGAAAAGTGCCCTGTATTTCCTAAACGCATCAAGTTAGCCGTGATTTCTCTTCGCCATTGTTATTTTCTCCAAAAAAAAGCTCGAGAATGTGCTCCCAGATTTTTGATATCTCTGCTAGTTTTCGATATAGCCTATTAAAACATTGAAAATGGGCCACCCTGTACACGCCAAACTTCCTGAGCGGCTTCATAACACCAAGTCAGACAACTTTGTTCATATCTGCAACCTGAGCAATGGGACATTGTTGCGCTAGCTCTTCGTGAAGTTGTCATTCTGACGTCAATGAGAACGGTGATACGATACATGTACGTTTACATAGTTTTAATTCCAATCGACTGTTTTGTATGTTATATTAACGATATCACAATTGTGAATTAAAACCAGACGTACATGTATCACCGTTCACAGATTAACTCGTCGGGGTTAATCTGTGTCACCGTTCTCGGAGACGTCAGAATGACAACTACACGAAGAGCTAGCGCGACCATGTCCCATCGCCCAGGTTGCAGATATGAACAAAATTGTCCGACTTTTTGTTATGAAGCCGCTTAGGAAGTTTGGCGTGTACATGAGTTACAAAATTTTAAGGTCGATGTACTGGGGACTATTACTTCATAAAATGAACTAATTGTTTTCATCTGTATAACCGTACGCATAGGTCGGTCCAGAAAATAAAAGTTTGTTTTCTAAAAAGTCGTTTTTGTGGTTCCACAACGTAATTAGGACAACAACTATATCAATATCAATATAAAGTTTATTTATATAACATAATATAATATAAAAATACAAAACTAACAAAATAAATCATTTGTCTCTTATTTTGCTGACAAGTTTTTGATTGAGAAGATTCAAATAGTTAGCAGCTTCTTTCAAAGGCACTTTGCCTGAACAATACACGAGTTCAAGCAAACGTTTAACTTCACGATTTATTTGCATTTTCAACTGGGATTCTTCCGCATTTGTTGAAACAGCCCTTTGACTCATCGATTGCATAAAGTTTGCCACAACCATTTGATTTATACTTGGTCTTGGTCCATTATAGAATAAGTTTTGACCCATCATTGAATTATTATTAACAGAAACAGGAACTGAAAAATCATTATTATTAATGAATTTAGACTTTAATGATTATTATTACTTTGAATTAATTGTTGTTTACCAATAATTCCAACTTCGTGTTGCAACTTAAGTGATTGGCAAAAGCGTAGTCTGTGCTCTGGGGATAAGAAATGTGGGAGCATTGATTCTTGGGTGCCTTTGAAAATGCAATGGGGGCAATACAAGGGTTGATTTCTAGGGAAAAAAAATCAATTAATATTTTACTACATTTGGAGTCTAAATTCACATTACTTACATTAAATGGTCAACATTTTTGTAATGCCCTCGTGCCGCTTCAGTACCGCATAAAATCAAAGTACAAGCTTCACAGTAAATCAATCTTGGATCAACAAAAACCTAGAAAAATTACAATTTTTATGAAAATCCAAAATCTACATGAAAAATTTTTTACTTGTAAAGTTTGCATTCCATAGCTCATCCAATTTCTGATAGTTAAAATGTGATTTCTCTCTTTGTAATGGAATACATTGTTCGGGGTGATTTCCAAGTCGCATACTTCGCACAAAGACGGGGTGAGCAGTATTTTTAAATTCGTAGCTAGTAGGACGCTAGGGTTTTTATTGTTGGTAAGAACGAATGGGTCTGGAAAATATGCATTTTAATATAGTTTTGGAAATTTTTTGTTTATTATTACCGTTATTTTTCTTGGAGTTTTCTTCTTCTAGTTGTTTGTTGTGGTTCTTGTGGACGGGGGTGTTTTCGTGGATGAGGCACTTTTTGCAAAATGTTTGCAATGTACTGAAATACAAATATATTTGAGGTTTTTGACTAAATCTAACTTTGAGGCTTAATTATTCGGAAAGTTTTTGGGCTATCAAACTCAACTTAATACAGATTTATAGAGAATTTAATGCTTTTTCGAATAGTCTATAATTTGTATTGATTTATTCAAATTTCTATGGACATATTCGCAATTTTTCATAACCTATGATTTTTTTAAAATGAGAAACTACCCCGTGTGGTAACTCCTTTGAAAGGTTTCTTATTCCTCTTTAGAGGCGTGACCATTTTATTTGAGCTACGATATAGAACATGATCACTTGAATCATCATCTAAAAAACACAAAAACAATTTTGCCTGGCAAAGTTGAAAAGCATTCAGCTATTCTATCGAAGCCCCATTAGGCTGAATTCACTTGAAACCACGTTGTGCAGCTGACACCCAACAGCAAATCATAATTCAACCATTTCTCGCCGGTATTCGGTAGTGCCCCACTGCTACACTTACCTTTAATAGTATAATCGTGTAACAAATGATATGCTAACCTATTATGCCGTACGGCTTCCCCGGGGACACCAATTACCAAAAAAAAAAAAAACAAACCATGATTTGTTACTCTGGATATCAGTGAAACGCAACTACAATTATTGGAGGAAGTTATTGAAAACATCTCTACCGCCAAATGCCTAAAGTCTACTCAACTAGCAGTAGGTTACCAAAATTGTAATTTAAAGGGTAGTTAGGATCATAGCTTAGGTAATTATTATTTTTTTGATAGCTTATTCCTCCACAATAGTCTACTGCTGAATGACGAATATAAAAATAAATAAGAAAAGAAAGGTACAATAGCTTGTTCACATTACCCTGGAGTTAACAACTCGATTGTTGAGAGTTAGTTTTGAAAAAAAAAAAAAAATTCAAGCGTGGTTACAATACAACTGACTTAAACCTAAGTAAAATGAATATTTATAATTATAAGCTTTGCTGACAAAGCGGTTCCCATGAAAAGCAACGGCTGGTCTAGTTCTGAAAACAGAGATAACTAATGATTAAGTATAATAATATTGTCCAGAGACTGACGCGATTTGAATAAATCGTCGTGGTTGACATTTCTTCAAGTTTCTTCTTTTGTTCATGAAGTTTTTCTTTTATGTCTTTGGATGTCTTGACGTTAATGATGTTCAAATCCAATGAAGGTAGGTCGTAGGACATTGATTGATTATGGTTAATCAATGATAGGTCCAATATCGGTAAATTGACTTCTTTGAAAGAGAGTCGATTTGGATTGAAGCTCTCGAAGGTGGTTGATTGTATTTTGGCTTTACAATCAACTGGCACTTCTAGTAGGTAGGATCCGAAGATGGGTACAGTTTCCTTTAGGTTTTGACAGTTCGTTGAACTTTTAGGTGGAATAGGAACTGTAATGAGTCATTTTCCATCAATAATTTTGGTTATTTGCAGTGCATGCAATTGAACCTCAAAAGGATGACAAGATGTGATGTTTGTACTGTATTTAATCAGCTGTACTTCGCATGGAAGGTAGTTTCCGATAAAGGTAGTACGGGCTTCTTGACATAGATACTCATTAGGCGAGATTTCTTCACAACGTTGGTCCATATAGGAGTATTTCACGTCACTAAGTGCTAGGTAAGGTTTATGTGGGATAACGAAAAAAGGTTTGATTATGGTTTCTTGGGATAGGTAATGGACGTAGATTGAAGTATTGATATACATCCGCTTCTACAAGTGGGATTTCCAATATAAATATGACATAAAAATCTTTTAAGAAACATTTAATTTGTAGAAATTTCTCGAAAATCAGTATATTTTCAGGTACTGGAGAAATTGGTAACCTATCTGGGTTCAAATAGGATTCGACATTTTTAATTTCAGATAAAAGTTCGTTTGGGTTCAAGGTGTTAAGTTTGACAAAACTTATGGCTACTTCCAATTTATCAAGAATACTATAAATTGATTGATACATTAAAGTAATTTGATTAATTACTGTGAACGTTATAAAATAACCTCGAATATTTTGGGTTAGATTAGCATCTTTAATTACTTGTTCAATTTGTAAAATTCGGGATCGAAGGACCAATTCGTTATGTGTTATATTAGAAATCATTTTTGCGAATTTATCAATCGTAGAGTCCATTAAGGTGATTTGATTGATTGCGTCGGATTTAAGCTTATTCTGATTTTCTTGTAATAGTTTCGTCGCTTTTCTGGGCGTCATTTTGCTCTAGATTTCCATTAATGACTTTTATAAATGAGCCCAAAGGATTAAATAATCCTCTCTTATTTCTATTTGAATTTCCTACTGTTGGAACAATTTGTTCAATTTCTATGCGTTTTTCTAGAGTATGTAGGGATACGAGCGAATTTGTATATTCAATATAGAAATTGTCCTTAGAGCTAATATTGGAAGATAAGCGTCTTGCTTGTATTTTAAGCGAGTCAAATTGGTTTATGTGAGTCAAGTTAAAGGTTTGTGCAAAGGACCATGAATTGGATATCATTTTGGCGGTTCCTAACTTGAAAGGAAGGATTCATTTTTATTCAAGTTATGGAATTTTACGTGGTTTCCAAGTGTCCATGTCCATCTAAAACAATGGGTTTAATTTTGCTTTCGTTTATATGAATTACTTCTTTATGTTTTGTTTTCGGATTTTCTATCTCAATTTTATTATTAGGTAGAATTTGGGTGAGAGTGAAAGGACCTAAAAATTTCTTTTTAGATTTTCCCGCTCGATTGTCGGATTTTTTATAAACTTGACAACCTACTTTTAAGTGTTGTGTCTTCGTTTATTTTGTTAATTAGTTTTTCTTTTGATTGTTGGGTTTTGTTAGTAATTTCATCATAAAGTAACTTGAGTTTTATTTTTGTGGGTATTAAGATATTCAGTAAATACGTGAGATGATACTAAATTCATAGGGTCTCTAGAATCTGTGTGTCCTGATACGAGTTCGTAAGGACTAAAATTAGTACTAGAATCAATAGTGTTGTTGTAAGCAATAATAGCGTATGGCATAAGTTTGGTGACATCCGAATCTGGGTCTGATTCTCGCAATATTCGAATATGTTCGATTAGAGTAGAATGTAGTTTTTCTACTGGTGAATTAGATTCGTGGTGATAGGGGGTGGTAAAATGTATTTTTATATTGTGAGCTATAAGAAGTCCATTGACTACTTCGTTTTTAAATTCCGATCCATTATCCGAAATAATTTGTCTTGGTACACCGAAAAATTGGAACAAGTGAATTATTTGATCTGCGCACGAAACTGAATTTCCTCAATAGGGGAGTACTTGAGCAATTTTGGAAAAGGACCCCGCAATATTTAAATAGAAATTGGTTACCCGTGATATTTGGATGAAATTTAAATATGTTATTGGGGATGCCGTAAGCAACATTTTTTACCATGGGCGCTACCTTGTATATATGACAGGTGAGGCGGTATCAGCTGTCAAATATTTGGAATCTAATGTTCAAAAGCAAGGTAACTATGGCAGATTTTGATGAAGTAAATATCGATTTCTACGAAGTCGACCAAGATAAATCGAAAAATGTCATCCTTTTTGACATCTGTCAAAATCCTCCCAAACGGCAGCACTCATATTTTTCAGTTTTCAATATTTCATGAAATGTCATTTGACATTTTTAATTTATGTGAATTCTGGGTTCAAAAATTGAAAAAAAAATTACAGAACTGTCTAAACCTGTCATTTATTTTAGAAGGAAAAAATATTCAGGTCTGGCTCTTTTTTGTTTTTAGGTATTTTATGGGTGATAAAACATTAAACAAAGCTCATAGACATCAAATTTTGACAGCTATCAAAATCTGAAACCTGCGTATAAGTTTTTTTCATGTTTATTATAAATAAACATAACTTATATAATTGGAACAGAACTAGATTCTGACAGCTGTCAAAATTTGATGTCTATGAGCTTTGTTTATTGTTTTAGGTATCATCAATGAGTTACCTTCAAACGGAGCGAGCCCAAATGGATTTTTTTTCTCTACAAGTGACAAGTTTTGACAGTTCTGTAATTTTTTTTTTGTTTCAATTTTTGAACTCAGAATTTACATAAGTTAAAACTGTCAAATGACACATCATAGGCGATTTTCAGCCTGGAATGATTATTATTTGGTTATAACCAATGCATTTCCGCCGTCGCGGTTTTAACCAAAGTAGGGGAAGTTGTGACGTCACATATCAGCTGATTTGCTTTTGGTATTTACCACTTATAACCGATTATAACCCAGCTTTGGACTTGGGTTAATCTTTTGGTTACAGCTTTTTGATGTTGTTGTTATTATTTTTGGAATTTGTATTGGTGTTTTGTGATTTTGCAGTTGCGTTGTAGCCTGGCACAATGAAAGAAAGTATACATTCACTCACTCACTGCAATTCACCATGTTTAGATCGAGGTTTAGATTATCCCCAAAGAAAATCTGTTCGATAAACGAGACTAACGAGAGATTCAGCTCCATTTTTTGTACCTAAACAAAAAATTATTGTTGAAACGAAAAAACAAATAAGAATAATAAACATAATCCTACACTGCTATAACCAAATCATTTCAGCGGTCAGTTCCGTGGATTATGATTCTTGAATGGTGGGGGGCTATGACGTCACACTTGGCTGTCAAAGTTGTCAACCAAAAGAATAACCACGGTATTTACCGATAAATAATCATTCCAGGCTGAAAATCGCCTCAAGATACATTGAAAACTGAAAAATACGAGTGCGCCCGTTTGGCAGGGGTTTGACAGATGTCAAAATGGTTTACATTTCTCGATTTACCTTGGTCGACTTGGTAGAAATCGATACTTACTTCATCAAAATCTGCCATAGTTA